AATCCAACACTTTTTTTCAGCCCACCATCTTTTTCTCCCTCCCTCCTTCCTCCTTTAAAAATTAGAGACCATGTAATACACATGTAATGCACAGCATGATGACTGTAGCTAACACTGCCATATGGTATATAGGAAAGCTGTTAAGAGTGTAAATCCTAAGAGTTCTTATCACAAGGAGAATTTTTTCCCTTTTTTCTTTTCTTCTTTCTTTTCTTTTTATCATATCAATATGAGAAGATGGATGTTAGCTAAAACTTGTGGTAATAACTTCACATATTTGTAAATCAAACCGTCAGGCTGTGCATCTTAAACTTGTACAGTGATGTATGTCGATTATTTCTCAATAAAACAGGAAAAAATAGAGACCAGTCGTATCTCAACCATTGCCAAACTCTGGCTGTCAATGAGAGTCCATCACTTCCTTTTATTTTTCTACCCACTGACTTATTTCCACACCTTACATACACCTCTGACCCTGTATGGTTATCGTGCTTGTTTGTGGGTTTTCTCTTTAAACTCTCCTTAACAAATTCAACGTACATTTATTTATGAGCCTAGATACATAAAGCCATGTGCCCAGCTCAGAGGGAGATCACCAGATATACGAGACTCAGTTCCTTCAAGATGCTTGTGCTCTAGTCCGGTATATAACAAGTCTTTCACCCATGTAAGGTGAGAATGACCTACTGGGGTGAGTGCAGGAAAAAGAGATTTTCTTTGCAGTTGAGAAAAGGAGGAGTAGGGAGAGCACGGGCAGATGGGAGGGCTCAAAATTGCTCATGCCCCTTCATCTATTCCAGGAAATATAGCCACGCCATTCCTAGGTATGAGGTTTTGCCAGTGACTTGATTTATCCCATACTGAGCCCTCTCCCCACACAGGATTATCTTAGCAAATATTGGAGCATGCCTTATGTCTTTCCGTAGAGTGAAGACTGTTGGTACCCAGGGGCTGGCTCTCTGACTTGCTCAGCCTCTGATTTTCAGCCCCTGTTTTCCTTAATGAAGAATAGTGACATACTGAGATGGCAAAAAGAGACAAACCTCATGTAAAGTAAGGGATCGTTACTCCTTCTTCCCATATCAACACCATACAGCCTTGTGATGCTTCAGCTTAAAGGTTAGCATCTGCATCTGTGGGATTGGAAACTGCATAACTGTGAGTCCTCCAGGAAAAAGCTGACTCTTTTGGCCTCCAGAAATGAGCCTAGGGGCGCCTGGGTGGCTCAGTTGGTTAAGTCGGCCCGTGGGTCTGCAGTCACAAGTCCGTGGGTTCAAGCCCCATCGGGCTCACCATGTAAAACAACTCAGGCCTAGACCTGCCAGTTCTATGTCTCCCAATCTCTACCCTCCCTGCTCATACTTCTGTCTCTCTGTCTCAAAAATAAATAAAAATATTTAAAAAAATAAAAAAAAAAGAAATGAGCCTAATCAAGAATAAAATAGGAAAAAAAGTGAACAGTGAAAAATGTGGGAAAAAATCATTGGCCTTTAAAATATATGGAATGACTTTTCAGAAGCCTGGTGACTCGGTCGGTTGAGCATCTGATTCTTGATTTCAGCTCAGGTCATGATCCCAGGGTCGTGGGATTGAGCCTGTCAACAGGCTCTGAGTCTGCACTGAGCATGGAGCCTGCTTGAGATTCTCTCTCTCTCTCTCTCTCTCTCTCTCTCTCTCTTTCCCTTCCTCCCCCCTTCCCTCCCTCTCTCTCTCCCCCCTCCCTCCCTCTGCCCCTCTCCCTCACTTGTAGGCCCTCTCTCAAATTAAAATTAAAAAAAATATATATTAGTAAAGAAAAAGATAAATATAGATATTTCCGTGATAACTTCCCCAAAGAGTTCTATTATACAGAAAGCAAATATAGACTTTTTCCTTCCTTAGGCAAAGATGGTTCCAGAGTGAAATTTTCAATTGAAAGTGTTATTTATGAAAGCTAATAACACATCCAAATAAAACTCAGGAGGTCACCTGAAAAATGAGGGGTCATGAAGTAGAGATACATTTGCTATGTGGGTCCTTGTTTTCATCAGTCTCCAGAGGAGGCTGCCCCTGGATTTCTCAGGGTTGGTTCCCAACATGCAACATCAGTCACTCTGATAGCATTTCTTAGAATGGATCGGCTTTTGCGCTTTCCTACAAACACTAAATTTCACCCAAATAAAGAAACCAAGAAAGGGAAATTCAAGATCAACAGAGCTAAAATTTCAGCTCTTTCTTCTTCTTTTTTTATGCTATCAAGGCAACGAGGAGGGCTTTTTTATTTTCTTTTCATGTGTGTGGCTGTGTCTGTGTCAACCTGCGTGTGCACAGAGGTACAGACAATTCTCACCAGCACTTAGAAGTTGTTCTGGCAAAAGTCTGTAAGAAATGCCCAGTTTTGAGCAAAAAGTTATTATAAACAACAGCAGCATCCCCCCCATCAAAGAAAGAAAAAGTCCTCTAGCACGCTTTGAACCTTAAACAGTGTTTTTATAGGCCAGCTCATTGTTTTTCTTCTCTATGAAAAATCAAAAACAATAACCGTTTTGATGAGTTCTACGGGAAAAGACAGTTTCCATGATTTCATTTCTTGACAAAGAGCAGCTACCTCACTTGGTTTCTGCCACATGTAAGCAAACCCCCAGCCGTAAAACCTCCCCTCAGAGAAAGGGATACGGAACCCCAAAACTCTTGAGTTCTTTCCCATCTGCCCGGGGGAAGCCTGCCTGCCCCTTGCTATGAGAGTGGACGAGTCGCAGGGGTGAGGTGTGGGAGAGGAGATGACTGTTCCCGCCCCACCCCCACCACAAGCACACAGCCTGTGCTGTCACAGCACATTCAGGGTGGCTTCTGCCCCGTCACCACTTGATCTGGGTTGTCTCTCCAAAAATAAAAAAATAAATAAAAAAAAACCAACAAGGTGTGCCTGTCTTTTATAATGTCCTGTTTTAAAGGAGAGAAATCTCCAGGGAAAGAACAGGACCCTAAACGTCCAAGGCCTGGAATCCCTCCTTTCTCTCTTTCCATTTTAAACAGGAAACATTCCCACTAAGAGGGTCCAGAGGGAGCATGGGTTGTATGTTCATTTTAAGGCAGATAATGTTTGTGTGTTACAAATGTCAGTGATTTATCCCAAGGGCTTAAAATGAGTGCAGAAAAACCACATGTTTCACTTCATGCAGAGAAATAGCTTCAGTAGATTTCAAGAGAAAGCACAGGTTAAGGATTTTTTTTTTTAAGTGTTTCAGAAATCTCCAGCATGAACCAAAAGGAAATAGAAATGAGAGAGGCGGTGGGGGCGGGGGGGGGGGGGGGGGGTGGTGTTGGTGCTTACAATATTTTATGACAAAAGATCTAGCGAATGCTGGAAGTTTTCTAAATCAGAGATAAAATTGTAAAGGAAAGGGGAGATGTAACCCTGATCCTCTATTTCCCAGGGCTGGAGTGACAGATTATGCATTTGTGCTCTATTTGTCATGGGCAATTTAAAATAGAGCAAAGCAAACTGCGCTGAATAATAGCAGTTGATGCTATAATAGCTTGTACACAAACAATTTAATTTTTTTATCTGAAAACTCTAACTAGATTACCCCAAGCTGAAGGATCTTTCATTATTACGTATAGCCAAATTAAGACATAAAACAGTAGAGCGAGAGTTCTATTGTTCATCCTTATGAATGTCTTCACACGCTGCTTTCCACACGCACCCACACTTGGAGCTCATCAACCCTTCATTGATTTGGGGAACTTACAGAGCTGTTTTAACATCAGATTCCGCAGATCACAGGGTGATTTCGACCCTCACTGACAGTGCTTGATTAACCACAGACGCCGTATTCTTCTAGCTCTGTCATTTCTTCCAAGTGTTCTACCAATTTGTACTCTGACATCGAAGAGATTTTCATTAATTATTATTGTTGCTTTTTTTTTCCTTCAAAAAATTATCACAGGGAGAGTAGTAGAATGTGGGAAGGATCTGGTGATGGTGGTGGTGAGTACGTGCACAGAAGGTTTATGGGATTTTAAGAGCTGCAAACAGAACTCATCTGTTTAACCCCAGGCTAGATAAGATGCAGTCATCTGTACGCTGTTTAGAGACGTATTGCTTCTGTTGTAGCAAATGGAACAGAAGATGCTTGTTGTCTTAGTAGAGAGATCCAGACAGGGTCACTTTCTGTTAGTGTTTATTGTTGCCCTGGACCTTTCTGTGTGCCTACTCATTACACAATGCAACTTACAGCTGGTTTGGCTTTTCCCACTCTGCTACTGGTACTTCTTGACTTCGTGGTAGAATTGCTTTCTATCAAGGCGCTACGTGGATAATCCCCAGCTCTGACTCATGACTTTTTCTAGGAACTGTAGAGAGGGGAGAGCACATAGGGGTGGCCCAGAAGCTAACCGGAGTTAGACCATGACTATGGTCCATGTCATGGACCCCCACAGCACCCCCACAGACCTAGAGATGAGTACAGCCCCAGGGAACTGTGTAACTCTGAATAACCTGCACATTTCTCCCACTACCCATGACAGGCTTCAGGGGGGCAGAGAAGGGGGCAGGTCCAATGATCCTAGCTGTAAGGGAGCCAAAGTGCGCCCCTGTTTAGAAAACGAGCTTGGCTGCTATGCTAAAGGCCAACACGCAATGGTACAAACCAGAAAGAAGTATTTTTGTCCCTCATGCAGCCTTCTGAGTATAAGCAGTCCTGGCTAACATGGTGGCTCCATGGTGGCTCCATGGTACAAGGACTCAGGCCCTTGCCCTCTCGTTGCTCTACCTTCCTCAGCATGAGGCTTTCTCCTTGTAGTTAAAAACGGCCACTCCGATGGCCAACAGGAAGGGGAGAGGGGAAGAAGAAGATTCCCTCTCTTCTCTTTAAGGGCACACACCACTTCTGTTCACATCCCATGGGCCAGGCCTAGTCAATGACCACGCCAAACTATGCAGGAGGCTGAGGAATGGGGTCTTCGGTCGGGCAGCTCCCTTAGCAGCTACTGATATGTGTCTGTTCTTCTCTTTCCAGGGGAGGACCAGCTGATCCTATAGACTATCTGACGGCCACACCTCGAGGGCTCTACAAAGAAAGGGAGCTCCCGTATTACCCAGGGGCTCATCCCGTGCATCCTCCCAAAGGGAGCTACCCACGTCCCCCGGATCTGAGGCTTGCAGACCTCCGGTATCCTCAGTACTACCCTCCTCCACCAGCCCCCCAGCATAAAGGACCCTTCCGACAAGATGTCCCGCCTTCCCCTCCTCAGCACCCCAGAGTGCCAGCCTATCAGGAAATGGGTAGACCAGGGCCCCGAGGGGGCAGCCCGGACCAGTACCCCTACCGAGCCCAGGATCCCAGGCAGAAGAACCCCATGACTGCAGCTGTGTAACTGAATATCACCACGCCCAGCCCAGCCCAGCCCAGAAGGGGAGACGGCTAACATCACCTTTGCCCTTCCTAGACTGTAAGACCTTCCTCCTGTTCAGAATTCTCCAGGGCACAGATAGGTTCTTCTCACCGAGGTTGCAACACTTGACTGCTAACCAGAGGGAAAAAGGAGGGGACAGGAGGACGGGGGATCAGAAGGAAGAGAAAGGACAGGGTCCATCAAAACAGTACTGCCTGAGATCCGAAATGCATTTAGAATTGTTCAATTCCGTGAGAGCGGCAGGTAAACAGGCAAATAACAAAGAACAATGGACATACCACACAGTGCCTTCCTGGTGTGCACAAGCCCCATGGAACTGGCAGCACAGAGACTCTCAGAGGCTGAGCCTCAGCCACCTGAGAGTGGCTGCAAATATGGGTGTCTTAAATGAGTAGTTTTCTCATTGAGAAAACAAACCAACAGCAGACATGACTAGTGATCTCTTTGAAATGTTTATACCCAGAAGAAGACTGCATTTCTCTCTTTGTAGAATTTCTCAGGTTCCTCGTACCACTCGTCTGGTATAAGTATTTTACATTTCCTTGCTATATATATATATATATATATATATATATATATATATATAACACAACACGAATGCAGTATTAGTGTCCTGAGAGAATGTTTAAAGCTAGTCAGAGATTCCAGAAGGAATATAGTCCAAGGACCAAGGCGATCAGGTTAAGAGGGCTGAAAATCCCCTGATCCTCACCTTCCTTCCCCCGAGTCCCAGGCGTGATTGCATGGAGATATCCGGTTTCAGAACCATCTCCAAATCTGGAACCGGGGCCTCGACTTTAAGGCTCCCACTTGAGGGCTAAAATGTAGTTGGAAAAGAGAGGGCTCGTTGCTTAGGTCACACAGGAAGCAACGATCCGGAGATGCCAATTCCACACTCAGTGCCAAACAGTGCCATCTGCACCCGGGGACAGGGAGGGGCTGACTGTGGCCTCTGGGATTGATGACTAGGGAGCAGTAGATGGCAGTGACTGACTGTGTGTGTGTGTATGTGTATGCGTGTGTGTATGTGTGAAGGTATGTGATTACCAGTATGGAGAATGTAAGATAAAAATGCTTTCTGGAAAGTTTGATGAGGAAGGAAATAAAAAGGAAAAAAAAATCAGAGGGGAAAGGAAAAGAGGCATAAAACCAGATCATTCTACATCCGCTGTATTTCATTAACAAAAGTCGGGGGAGCACCCAGCCCGGGCCAGCATCTCCAACTGGGACTAGAAGGTCTTATGGTTTGGAAAAGCTGACACCCCGCCCTCTAAAACCCATCCCATTTCCTTTGAGCTTTGCAGTGATTTTCTACTTATTTCAGCAAGACTTCTAAAACTTCCAACCTGACCCAAATGAGAACACAACAGAAGACTGAGAAACAGCAAAATCTGGGAGCAGCCGTTTGAATCGTTCAATGGCTCTTAAGAGACTTAAAGCCTTGCCGCTCCTTCTCCATTCCCTCAAAACAAAACAAAACAAAAAAAGTATTGAGTTCCATTTGGACATATTTTGGCTGAGATTAGAATACCTCTGCCTGACAGGACTTAATAAATTATAGTATTATTAACTATAGAGTATCCAACCCAGTTTAGGTGTTTTTTTAATTTAAAATAGAGTTCTATTACCAGGAATGAAGCAGCTGCTGGTTTTAGACATAATAGTGTTATTTACTGGACTTTAAGAGGTATCATTTTCTAAAGTACAATTACCTTGACCATCTTAATAAATAGACTGTCAAGTCGGTCTTCTCCATCTGTCATCCCTCTTGAGCCAGGCACCTTACACCTTTTGCAACGTGTGCACGGAGGTTGAGGGGCTCAGGCCCTGCTCACCTAGAGGTGAGATGCAGGTGAGCTCCCGGGCTTCTCTGCCAACACGCTGAATGACACTTTACCCTCGAAATAAATAAACTTCCAGGAAGAGAAGGATAAAGTGAGGGAAATGTAACGTGCTTGGGAGCGTTAAAATCAGCTCTTGGGCATGTTGCATTTTGAGCCAAATTTCTCTAGGCTATTAGACATAGCCAAGCCAGGAGTCTCCTTCTGGATTAAGGCCAAGGCCACACGAGAGGCAGCCAGAGGCAGTGCGAGAGGGTGAGATATCCTGTGCGTGTTGGAGGAGTGGCCCTTGTAGGAAGAATGCCCATCTTCCCCACGTTGCACAATGCCTCCTGCTCACAGGCTCGGGGCAAGCTGCACCAAATACGGTCTTGCGCTGCATTCACAGTCAATAAAACATTTGCTAATCCTGCGGGGCAGCCAGTGATTTGAAACTGCTCTTCAAGTGGACGAAAACGAGATGACAGCCGTTTTCTTGCTTGAAGTACAACACACGCCCAATTTGACCCCGCCCGAACGAAGCGCACGTGTGTGTCACAGAGGCTCCATCGAGCCAGGCCACAGTTAAGAACGGCTCGAATGTAAGCTTCGTAAGCGCCTGTGAACCAACCCTCCACTTGCCAGCACCCAGAGGCTGTAGAACTCTCTCCCAGTATCTAGGAGAACTGGTGGTTTAGAGTGTTTAGAGGGCCAGCCTGTAGTCAGTAGGTGCCCAGTAGCAGGAAGTAGTTCCCCATTTATTTATGGCCTTGGCGAGACTCAATCTGGTGTCTGCTCCTTGCTCAGAATACCATAACGCCCCTCCCCACAGGAACAGAGTAGCACAGTGAGCTGCAAACCCATCAGCACACACCTTTGGCCTTGAGTCGTGAGATATTTGAAGGAGCTCTGGTTTATCCCTTTTTGCAGGAGGGGAGATGGGAAAGGGAGCAGACCATTGCAAACTTTTAGATGCAGGAGAATTCGGTCCTCTGCCAGGAGGAGAAACACTGCATCTCGTTAACCCCTTGCGCCATTGGACTGTGGTAGAAAATTGGTTCCCCACAATATTAAATCAGTGGATGAAAGGCAATCTCAAAGACAGGAGCACCTTTTTACATCATAATCGAGTAACAAACAAAAATCGGAAAATAAAATTACCGTGAAGCTCATAATTCTTAGATATGTAAGTCAACATGCATTGACCCCACAGGACAGCATGGAGCAAAGATCTTATAACCAAGGGTGTGAGGAGATCCACAGACCCACCATGACCCCATGGAGGAAACCATGCATGCTGCCCGATAAAGGAGGTTGGAAACTTCCTTGTGGCTCTCTTTGTGCCACCAACTAAATAAAATTGAAACATGACTCATTATTCCCTTCAAAGATCTGTGAACTTGTTGAACTATCTTCTGAAGGAAATGCATCTGACAACTTGAGGAGCTGTCAGGCATGGAGTCTATGTGCATAATAAGGATCCGGCCTTTGAGGGGCATTCGTTCCCCTAACCTGTAGCCCCAGCAGTTGTTTTCTTTGGAGAGACATCTTAGCCTTTCAGGGCGGATAGAGAGATCTGCACAGTTTGGGGAGGGATGTATGCCTCTAAAATCCCCGTAGGCATTAAACTCTGAAATCCGCAACGAACTGCCCTCAAATCGGTGCTAAATTGGGTAGACACCCTACTGCTTTTGAGTCCAGGAGCAACAAAAGGTCCAGACTTGGTGCAATTAAGGCAGGAGGGAGTGGGATCCAGAACCAGCCACGGGAGTACTTCTCTGCCCTCCCAGTTCCCACCGACTTAGTTGGAAATGATGCCACAATGAGACCAGAAAGAGGAGTCTCCATAAGATATCCCTACAAAGTCACCTCTCTGAAAAAAAAAAAAAAAAAGGAGAATAAAAGATAGATATCTAAAATAAGCCTAGAATCTCATATGCAGCTACTACTTCTAAGGGAAACTCTTTTCTCCCTCATGTCCTTAAATAGTAATAGAATCACACAGCTCCTGACTTTTAAAGATGGGCTTAACTCCCGAGCCCGGAGTGCACAGGGAACTAACCCCAACGACCGAGACTGTCTCCTCACTCAGCTCTGAGAGCGTGTGCTGTTCCATCTATGCTGCCCGCAGTGCTGTTTACTACTGGAACGTAAAAACAAACCCTACTGTGGATACAGTCACTTCTTCTAGTGTTTTCCTGCGCTTTTTTGGCACCAAGTCTGTTCATAAGTTCTGAAGATAAATTATGTGAAATCATATTTTGGCATATGGGGGCAGAGAATGAATTCTTCACAGACTTTTTAGAATGATCCCATTTGTACCACAGAAAACATTTTGGATGCTGTTATATATGAACATACAAATTTTTCTTGTTTTATTTTGCATTAAAATAAAGCTTTATTCATTAAGATACCAGAGTGTTGGTTTTCAGTCCCCACCTGTTTGGTTTAGGATTTGATGAATGAATAGGTTGGTCTGGTCCTGATCACCCTTAAACAGCAACATCATAGGGCAGGGGTCATGAAGGAGAAGCCTCTGTCATGTGCTGGGCTCCCCAAGAAACACATGCGAGACGGAGACGACCATGTAGGCTGTTTATTCAAGGGCGCACTTGGGTTCAATACCCACGGAAGCCAGGGCAAGAAGCAGGGCCGGCCAAAGGGAGAAGCTGAGCAGTGATACCCTCCCAAATTAGGCCTCAGCCGGCTCCACAGGGCAATCTGGAGCCACAGTGGCCCTTCAGACTTGTCCCAACTTGGGACCAAAGAGCTGGGTCTTCATACCGCTGTGTTGGTTGGTAGGTATGAGCTACTCCTGGAAGGAGATGGGACCCAGGACTGGGCAGTTGGGAGGTATTTACAGTGGTTGGGAAAATTGTCCTTCATTCCTGAGGTGGGATCTGGGCAGCTCACCACACAGCCTCCAACACTGTTGACCCTTCCTCTTACCTTACTTAGGGAAACGTGACTCTGAGTAGGTTCTCCTTGAAACCAACCCTCTGTTTCCCAAGATTCTTCACTGGATTATTCTCAGACCTCCCAGAAGTGTCTTGCAAGTTCATTCACACCGAGGTTTCAGCCACCGTCTCTGGAGAGGTTTGCTCACAATCTCCAGCTCAGATCTGTCTTCCCAGACACATG